AAACACATGGTATTGATGTTGTGCGTCTTCCTCCCTATCACTGCAAACACGTTAAAAGATATGTAGGTCGACATAATACCATATTTAAGTTAAAAGATGTAGAAGCTTGTTACGAAAGAAAATTGGCAAAAGGCATTTGAGCATGTGTTAAAAGAAGAAGAAAATATGTGGAATCTGGACAAAATCTTGGATGTCGATACTACAGTGCCATCTCAGTAAATATTGACTTATCAAGTGAATATAGTGATTTAGAGACTTTTACGTTTCCTGATCCTCGAGAGTAGGTAAACATATCTATTTTATATCTAAATGTTATAATAATAGTAAAAAAGGAGTAGAGACCACCCAATTAACGCTGCCAGAAACTAAACCACCAAACTAAACTCAAAAGCGTGTAAGACTGCAAAAACGCAAGCAAAACCGGAGCATGTCAAAAAAAAGATGAAAATATTGGATTTACCAAGTTCTTGATATGTCACCACCAAAAAAACACAAAAAAAATTTTTTATTTCAGGGTGAGTGGCGAGGGGACTCACCTAAAACAAGCACCCCGACGGCATATTCGTATCAAGCGTGCAGTATCGCAGGCTCGTCTTTTCCGAGTACCGCCGAATGCATCGACGTATCCAGAGCGCGAGAACGCATTATGCTAGATGTATCCAACGTTCGAAATTGCAATTATTAATTTTTGGCATTTGTCATGGTCACTTGTTTTTGTATCATGCACTAAGATGGAGAATTTTTGTTTGTCGCCAGATTTTCCCTACGTTATAGAAAATGACACAGTAAGACTTAAAATAACATTACAATCAGAAGTTGAGGTAAGCTTTTAAATTGCCACGTACGTACGTACATACTTAAAAAATAGGTAACCGCTTAGTTATTTGATTTACAACTCTTCCCATCAGTGTGTTGGATAGCGATCAAGATTTATAGTAGGGGAGCCCAAGAGGAGATTTTTAAAATAATTCGAGCGCCGCGTCAGATTAATGTATGGGGGTTAATTTTTCCCTTAAAGATTATCTCTGCCAAATTTCTGCCCTTAATATAGGGGCGTATTTGTAGGGCAGCCAATCAAAGTTGTAAAACAAATAGATACCGTAAAAATACTCGAGCGTGACAGATTATTGTAGGGAAGGTTAATTTGCACCTTAAAAATGATCTCCACCAAATCTTAGCCCTTAATATAGGGGCTATACAGGGTGTTTCACAAGGAATGGTCAATACTCTAACCATAGATTCGGGACCTGTAAATATTAATATTTTACTTAATAACTTTGAGTCAAATAATATTTCTATGTTTTAAAGTATAACCCTATAATAAATACTATGAGTAGAATAACTTAAATGCAAATATCTTGATATGGGCTGAATTTATGCTATTAAAACAAGTGTACCTTTTTTTGTTCAAATTTATCATAACGACTTGAAAAAAATTCAAAAAAGACAGTATTAAAAAAATATGGATATTTTTCTTCATCCAGTAATGTGTAGGTGACGCCCTCTTTATCTAGTCTTAAAATGTTTTATATTTATGATTAACTAACTAAAAAATATAACCATACCAAATTTCAAGTCAATATGTTAATTATTAATGAAATTATTCGAAAAAAACAAAAATTAATTTTAACATCAACACCCTGTATCTTGGTAGTAGATAACATTTGACCCATAGTTAATTAGTAAAATATTAATATTTGGAGGTCCTAAAGCTATGTTTAAAATATTGACCATTCCTTATGAAACACCATCACCCATATAAATATACTTTTTTTATAATCCTTAATCCTCTCTTGGGCTCCCCTACTATTATACCTAATAGTCCAGTTTAATTATCATTTTGGTGTAAAAAAACTTCGATATCCAAAATTCTTTTTGGTGGTGTTGGGGGGGGGGGGGGTCGATAATAGCTTAATTTTAAAAAGTCGTGATGATTAAGGTGGAGGCTCTTTTCCACCCTCAAAAAACCCTAAAAAAATATTTTTTTTCAATAACTCCGCTAGATACATCAACAACTGACTGCTTATTTTGTATGTTTTCGCGCTCTCTACTATTTACGATATATGACTTTTTCGTGTACCGAAACAGAGTTATTAAAAAAAGCAATTTTTGGGTTTAATTTCAGTGTTACACAATGCTTTCAAACCACGTACAGACACAAGGATCAATTCGACAAAAAAAAATATGCCGAAAAGGAAAAAGATATCGGTTCAACCAACATCAGTTTCAAGATGAAAGGTTCATGCATGTGGACGTAGAAAAGTGCAAAGTGGACGAACAGTTTCTTCTTTAGTTAAAAAGAAGGCGAAAGCACCCCACAATTTACTCCTGTGCGTGGAGAAAAATATACCTTTGGGAGAAAATAAGTTTTTAAAATAAGCAAATTGTGTATTTTTAAAAAAAAAACATTAAAATTACTTTGTTTATACTTGTAACAAAACTTTAAGGCGAATGTATTTTAAATTATATGCCACATAAATTTAAAAATATTACTTAAGGGGCACATATCTTGTCAATATGTTGCGATATCGAACGCTGAGTACAACGCGAAAAGCCTGAATAATGCGTTCCCGCGCGCTGTATACCTGAACGGATTCGAGGGAACTCGGAAAAGGTGAGCCTGCGATACTGGACGCTTGATACGAATATGCACCCCGGCGGTTGAATTACAATTATTTAAGTTTAAAATAGTAACAAAAAAATAATACAAACAAATACCCCCTAATTTACCCAACCGTGCGCTCATCAGAGTCTTAAAGGGGTTTAGTTCCACAAAAACGGCGCGACACAGGTAAAATTCTTAAAATCACCACACCTTATAACTGCTGGCTGTTTAAAATCACAGAATTTGTTTGAGCCACCTGTGCTGTAAAACTCCCATATAATTTTGATTTATTACTTCGTGTCGATTGCGATTCTACTATAGTTAATTTCCGCGAGGAGCTTTCTGTTATACAATCCAGATAATTCGCAAGATTTAAAAAAAAATCATTTTAATGATTATATACAGTGTGTCTACTTAAATTGGAACCATATGGAAAACATTTTTATTATTGATTTTAGGAAAAAAGTTATTCTTGATCATCATCATCATCATCTGAATTAGGGCGTGGTTCAAAGCCCACTTGTGCTGAAGCTCTAGACTTATTGTACCCCTCACAGTTTCTATCCCATCAGATTGATTTTCTTGATGAATTCAAGAATATGTCTGATGGGCGCTTTCACGATTTCTTCAGGTTCCGGATATTGTACCCCGAAGTACCATTCCCGTTCCCATTTAAGGTTCCGGCAGTGGCATAGTATGTGAATAGGAGTTTCGTCCTCCTCTTCACATATTCTGCATAGGGAGTCATCAGATATCCCTAAGAGATTTAGGTGTCTTCTAAGGCCGCAGTGTCCCGTAAGGAGTCCTATTACGGCCTTGAGTTCGCTTCTGCTAAGGTTTATCACGTTATGCGTGATTTTATAAAGAAAAGTCACGATTTACGTGTTTTAAATAATTGTGGGACTATCTATGTCCCGGGGGTTATATAACAAAATATATGAATTTGGGACTCAATCACATTAACACTATTTAGCCTTAAACTTGGCTTCGTAGCCCTTAACTGTATAAGGGTTCTACTCTTGATGTTAGAACCTGACACGTCTCTGTAAAAGGGCTGAAGGAAACACAATGTTTTCTCAAAACAAATATAATATAATTACAACGATTATATAAAATATGTCTCAACTCGACATACACAACTATAGGCTCAATATAATATAAAAGACAACAAAATACTTACTTACCAACTCCGCTAATATTTGGGGCACATGTCACAACCCTTAACAAACTTATTAAAAATGTAATTATTTAAAATACTAAAAAACGACTTTTAATTTAAAACTAAGAAGATTATAAGCTGGAGCTGCTACAGGGAATCTCCTACAAGGGGGACCTCCTATGGGAAGGATCCGTTCCCTGTGGAAAAAAGCCTCGTGCATCCCCTCGACATTACCTTTATCACTTTCTCATAGTTTATTGTTATTAATAATTATTAAATAACCAACCTTGCACATTATTGCTATTTAAAACAAATTGTTGACATAATTAAACAAAGTTTTATGTATAGGATGTTATTTAAATAATTAATTAAAATTAGGAAAAATATGAATTTATACGAATCGTGCCAGTTTGATAAAAAGTCCTGCATGACCCAAAACTTAAAATACAGTCATCAGATATCAAATTTTTCAAGCCTTATACAAGGTTTGTCAAAAAATATGAATTTTGCTCAAGACTAAAGTACGATTATTTTTGCTAAATTCTTTACAAACATCAAGAAAAGGAAAGCGTATCATGTTTATAGCAGAGCAGAGCAAAGCTAACTTAATTTATAACGTTTTCAGATATTTACAATCAATGTGTAGAAAAGTTTATAAAAAATAAGAAAATCTGTTTTTCAGTTAGATCGGTGTTATTGCATATTTGAATGTAATTTCCAATTCTAATCAACTTTTCTTAGTGAAAATTTTCGATTTTGTCAATAAATCAATAATATTTTTTTTTCCATATGGTTTCAACTTAAGTAGACACACTGTATATTCTACTATAATTAATTTTTTTAATTATAATATGTTTAAATTAAATTGGCTTTTTAGACTGGAATCCTGAAAATTACTGTAGCCGTCAACGTGTTAAAGGCAAAGAAAATTAGTCGCAGCAGCTCTTTAATAATGAGGGAGTAAATCAATTTAATTAAAACTAAAATTCTAGCAATCCACGGCTCTTTTGTTTTAACTCTCATTCTAATTTCTCATTGTACGAGTCTTCGACAATACTCGCATCTCTCGTGATCTATTAAAACAATGTTAAAGGTAGAATCGAATAACCAGATTGTCCTTAACAAAACAAAAAAATACGACAGCATTAAATTGCATTAAACGCAATTACTTCTAACGACAATACAGTTAATTGGTCCGCAACACACATACAAAAATAATTTGTCAAAGCTACTCACGTCATTCGTCGACACGAACCAGGCCATTTCGGTGCTGGACGCTAATTGACCATTAACCAAACATTTAATTTCGCTTTTTGTCCACCTGTTGTATATGTAGACGATGGCCAGCATGTACCACTATAAAACATAAAAAAAAACAAGAGGAAACAATGGACATCGTTAACGAGCTTTATTTTAGCATATAACACCCCCGTCGAATATTGTAAAAATTTTATTATAGGGTTATCAAGTACATTTACATAAGAAAATTATGCAAAAATAATTAGTGTTAAAAGTGCTTATTAGTACTTTACAAAGGAAGTACTTTCTTTTATAATTCTTACACCTTAATTTAAAGCTTTCCTTGTAGTTCTTGGATTTTTAGGTGCTTGTAGATCAAATAAAAATCGTGTGAATGGTTATAGCCTTGTTCAGCAGTTTTTACTAAGCAATTTTTTTTTTTAATTAAACATTGTTTTTTATGAAAGTTAACGTCATTCGAATTCTTTTAATTTTCTATCATCAGCTTACATTTGATATTTAATTTTATGTTTTTTATAGCTTACCTTTGGTACAGAATCGAGGTGTGTCATTAAAATTAAATTAAAATATTTTTTTATTATTTTCTTTTCTACTTCAATAAAACAAATAATAATAATAATAATAATAATAAAGACACCATCCGTAAAAAAAATAACCAACATGACATGCATGATCTTAACAGTAAGACTAACAATGTAAAAGGCCAAAAAAAGAAGAAACAAGTGATAATCATACATTAAATATATTAGCTGTCAATTCTATCACTTGAGAATCAAGAGCCACTTCCGATTCTGACACCGTGGTGTCAATGTTGAAATGGCGGTCTCAAAATCGGGAGTGTACAACAGTTTATTTAAAATATCCACCATTTATTTGATCATCCAACCTTTAAATTACTACTAAATCAATCTTAACATTCAGTACCACAAGTGGAAAATAATATTTTAAGTTAAACACCAAGTTAAGTTAAAAAGTGACAAAGTGACCCTTTGACAAAAGTTTATCTAAAATATCCACCATTTACGTGATCATCCGACATTCAAAATACTACTAAATTCATTAACAGAATAATATTTAAATAAATTATCAAGTGCAGTGGAAGAGGACAGAAGTCCGACGCAAGTGGGTGCAGCTTTTCCATTTAACAAAATTTTAAAAACAATAATCAAAAATCCTAGGCCGAATAGCCCTGGCAGCGGAAGCCTACAAAAATAGAAATAGAAGAAGAAGAATCAAGCGCATGGTAGTTAAAAAAAAAACACTTTTCTTTTAAAAAAACCTTTAATTGATACCCGGGACTCTATGAGAGGCCGTAAAAGAAAAAAGAGGGGTCTAACACCCCTACCACAGTTTATAGCTAAAGAATCAGTTCGCTCACTCTGCGTCGGCACTTTTGATCTCAATGTTCCAGTTTATACACTGCGCAACTCGGATAATACAATATATAACAATCGCCTATAATAAAACAGCAGTCTTCTGAGCATCCTGAATTTGTATCCCTGGAGTGGATGTTATTTTGGAACTTACAACTGGTCCGAGTGAGCTAACTGATTCTTTAGCAATAAACTGTGACTCCAAAAATAATATTCACTGACACTGACAGCAGCAAGCAAAATATCAGGTGCGTTTTAATCATCCGCTTCTGCTTCCGGAATTGTCGGTTTAGTCATTTTAACCTGTCAGATTAAAACAACAAAACCGACAATTCCGAAGCAGAAGCGGATGATTAAAATGCACCTATTAAAAATATTGCGCCAAGATGTAGGCAACACGTAATAAGGCATCAAAATGGCGGAGTTTTCTATCTCCTTTTAAAAGGCACTCAGAAAGCTGCGCAGTGCGACCATTCTCCGTATAGTAAGAGAAAATCAAAGTATGTGTATTAGGCATTTCAAACAAATGAACTGCCAGTGGGAAGATTTGATATATCCAAGGCACAGTTTATAGCTAAAGAATCAATTCGCTCACTCTGCGTCGGCACTTTTGATCTCAATGTTCCAGTTTATACACTGCGCAACTAGGATTTGTATCCCTGGCGCATACAGAATCAAATCATAACCAATACAATATATGACAATCACCTATATTCAGACAGCAGTCTTCTGCGCATCCTAAATTTGTATCCCTGGAGTGGATATTATTTTGGAACATTCAACTGGTCCAAGTGAGCTAACTGATTCTTTAGCAATAAACTGTGTCCAAGGGTTGCGACATACGAGGTATGCTGTTTACAATACGTAAAATCATGAATAATGGATTACATTTAAATATTTTATGTCAAACACAATAAAAATATTAATCAAAATAAGAAACCGCTTGGGAAAAATAGCGGAACTTTGCTCATACACCAGATATCGAGATGCGGTTTTCTGCATTGAGTTCAGGAAGTTCCAGGAAAAAAGTTTACATGGTCTGGTTTGGCGCGTTTTTGGAAAAATGCCTTCTGGGCCGAAAAATGCATTTTCCAATTGCATCATAACTTGTATCATTATAGGAACGACTGGAAACTCAGAAAAATCGCTCGGAAATCATTATTCGGGGGTTTTCGGGGCTGCCGAACTCGATTCTAGCATTATAATTATCCGGGGGGTGCACGGGGGTGGCTCTGTGGGGGTGCGCGGGAAGTGAATTGGGGGAGAAATGGCAGCGTGCATGAAAGTCGCTCCAAACTCGTTACTCGGGGGTTTTTGGGGATGCCTAATTCAAATCTGGCATTGGAATTACCCGGGTGTGGCTTTGTGGGGGTTACCTTAGATCCGTTGGAATGGGGGATGGGAATTGGTGGATGGAGAGCTCAGTCCTGTCACCATGACCCAGGAAGCCGGTCCCGAGGAAATTTTGAGCAAAATTTATTGTTCTTGTCAAACCGACTGTGGCACGAGGTGCGGGTGCCGCCGAAAGGGGTTGGAGTGCTCACTTGCATGCAAGCATTGCGATGGCAATTGCTCAAACCAAAAAGGCACTTCCAACGGGGCCGAGGATACTGACGAGGAAGAAGATGAGGAAGGGAGAGAAGATAAAGAAGGGGAAGAAGAGTTTGAACAAGCCCTCGGGCACCCCGGTAAAGCCACTTTGAACATTCCCGGGTAATTCCAATGCCGGAATTGAATTAGGCATCCCCGAAAACCCCCGAGTAACGAGTTTGGGGCGATTTTCATGCACGCTGCCATTTCTCCCCCAATTTTCACCACCCACGCACCCCCGGGTAATTCTAATGCCAGAATCGAGTTTGGCAGCTCCTAAAACCCCCGAATAATGATTTCCGAGCCATTTTCCGAGTTTCCAGTCGTTCCTATAATGGTGCAAATTATGATGCAATTGGAAAATGCATTTTTCGGCTCAGAAGGCATTTTTCTAAAACCGCGCCAAACCAGACCATGTAAACTTTTTCCCTGGACCTTCCTGAACACAATGCAGAAAACCGCATCTCGATATCTGGTGTATGAGCAAAGTTCCGCTATTCGGGTGATTTTGATCTAAATGCCCTGGACTAAGACCTTCTCACTGGCAGCTATTGTTTGACAGGTCGTTGGAATGTCTAATTGGTTATAGTAAGAGACCGCCATCTGATAACAAAATGAAATATGCTCTAAAGACATGTAACAACATTATACTTTACCAAATTTCACCTGTGCCAATCTATCCTGAGCAAAGTGGTTAAAAAAAATTATTTTATATTCAAAAAATCATATAAGACATGACAGCGATAATTGTGTTTTCCCTGAAAATTACAATTCCAATTCCTTGTGAACCTAGCTTTTAAACCTGAATTATTAATATTTTTACCTACCTTTTAAACCATATGTATGAATGAAAGGAAAGAGGATGGCATTGTATAAATCATTTGCAGAGATAGTCAATAATAATTATAAACTATTGTTAGACAGTGCTAATAATAATATATAAGGAAAAATGGAGATTGCCGCTTTTGCTATTCACTTTGGGAGATTGTCATGTTTGATTCTAAATAATCCTAGTAGTTTTTTTTGTCGTTTCTATGGCAACCTGTAAAAATGAATCACAACAATACACATACAAATAAATTTTTAAATCAGCAAAAATTGATTCATATTTTTAATGATTTTTACCTACTAATTGTGTGTAGATGTTTTTGTGCGATGTTAAGAGGAAGAAAATGTTTCCCGTTAACGATATATATCAAGATATTTAAATATGTTATTGTTTGGAAAACTTTAAGGGCAAACAAAATTATCGCTGTTATGCCTTATGTGATTTTTTTAAAATAAAATATATTAACCACTTTGCTCAGGATTGGGATTGGTACAGTTGCCATTTGGCAAAGTACAATGTTTTTACAAGCTTTTGGGGTATATTTTATTTCATTATTAGATGGTGGTAAAAATTTGCAGTGGGCTTCTGGGCTATTACGATTAGATTCTGTATGCGCCAGGAATACAAATCCGAGTTGCGCAATGTATAAACTGGAACATTAAGATCAAACGTGCCGACGCCGAGTGAGCGAACTGATTCTTTAGCTATAAACTGTGTCCAATGTGCCCATACACTAAAACGGATGAACATAAAAAAAACAATAAATAAAAATATAACAACGGACATAATTAGGATTATAGGAGAAAAAAATAATAAAAAAAAATGATTTAATTTATTTTTAATGACACACCCAAATTCTGTACCAAAGGTAAGCTATAAAAAAACAAAATGCAATATTAAATGTAAATTGATGTTAAAAAATTTCTTGTAGAATTCGTATAACGTTAACTTTCATAAACAACAATGTTTAATTAAAAGAAAAAAAATGCTTAATAAAAACTATTGATCAGTGTCGTAAGCTATAACCACACACACGATTTTTATTTCATCTACTAGTATCTAAAAAAGTTAAAAGGGCTGATTATTTACATTACAGTACTTATCCTTCTTTTAATTTTTGAATTTTTTTTAATTTTTCATATTTAGGATATTTAAGAATCTTTTGTAATGGAATGATTATGAACTACTTTAGTTAGAAAAGGAAACGTCGTTATTTTATAAAGATATTCAAAAATTCTCTTCTTGTTCCTTTATAAAAATGTAGCATACCGTAAGTAAGTTTTTTAATTTACACACAAATTAGT